AGGAGCCCGCCCGCACACCTGGATGAGCCGCCTGGGCTCTGACTCACCCCTGGCTGGGGCCCCACTCACCTGGTGGTACGGGTTTTGGTGGGGGATTCTCCCACTCACCCAGCCCAGCCCTGGCAGCAGGGGGCATGGCTCAGCCCTATCATATGCATCCTGTCACTCCTACATCCTACCGTTCCCAGACTGCACCCCAGCCACTCCTGATCACAGAGCCTCTGACACTCTCTCTCAGTTTGGGGTGCGGCTAGCGCCCCAGACCGAGATAGACCGTCAGGGGCTGCCTGATCAACCAGGATCGACTCGTTGGTGACCATTGGCTTAGCTAATGGTGAATTAGTTTCTGCATTTACCCTGACATGGTACTTGGTGGTAACTGTGCCCTTTGAACAAGCTTCAGATCCTGGAATGGGAAAAGGCGCCGACTCGCGTAATACCAAATTCTGGCAGCTAGCTTTTTATCAAGGTGAAAACCCAGTAATCGGGAAGCCCTTCTCCTGGACACTGGAGAGTATTATTTGTTTGGCTCTTACCTCTGGAGTAGCTTCATTAAGGTTACATACTGTTTCCATTCCTCCTAGTTTCCAGTGCCCATCCTCACTTACAAACACGGATGATAAACAGACATTGTTATGCGTTAGGTTTCCCTAAAATATAAAACAAACAATAGACCTGGGGATAGCAGAAGGCATATAATTCTCGTTAGCACTAATTAGGTGTCATGAGGATCCAAGGAAAAGCTGCCAAAAGCATACAATTCAATTTTTATCCTGTAAAGTTTTTTTTGGTTTTTGTTCTGTTTTTTTTAATAGACAAACTCTGGGCACCACACATGAGGGCCAAGCTTTAAATAAATCCAGGTTTAACCTTCACAGTCCTTTTAGAATAATTAAGATGAAGAAGAGACCCTAAATTCAAACACAGGGACTGAAAATTATACTGCTGTAGCTCCTGGTATTTGCTATAGTCACTCCTGCCATGTGCTAAAAAGCAGGACTGGACCAAGGGAGAAGTAACAGAGCCCAGTATCTCATGCATCACAAGGACAGTTAAGAAAATGTGTTAGTTTGGGAATCTCAGTTTTCCCAACAACATAACATCACTTGTTCATGGTTCTGACCAGTCATGGGATCTTAAGCTATGAGATCATAGGATTATAATTCTCTTCCTTTCTTTTTGACTCTTCAATTAAGTTGTTTTAAGCAGCCATTGACTCACAAAACTGTTAAAGAATCAATTCATGCTATGTAAAGGCAGCCTGGAACTGCAGGGGTCAACTGATATGAACTACTCCTTTCTCTTAGTTTGTGATATCTACTGCTCCTGCCATGTTACAGGGAATAAAATACAATAGGGGAACATGAAATGAGAGTTAAGGTCTCATATGGATAAGACCACTGACCAAATACTGCCCATCACCTTTACTTCCAATCTCCACTGAGAGCCAAAGCTCACTCTTGTGTCTACTGCTACTGGGAACTTACCCTTTCATGGAGGAAGACAAGAGCCAGCAATATGTCATAAATCCCTGAGCAGATCTCAGCAGAGGAGAGTAACTTCAGAATTACTGACAAAGGTTTTACCCGCTCTGTCACCAGGTGTATTCCATCTGTTTCCACAGTGCAAGAGAGGAAGCGTAGAAGGCAAGGGTGGCGCAAGGTTTTCAGGTGCTTCCAAAAAAACAAGGAAGAAACAAAGTCTATACCTGTGACATGATGTATGGACAGGGGGCTTGGTGGACAGCCTTGGTTTTGACATTAGCTGATACTTCTAGTTAAAAATACATTAAGGAGGTGTGAGTAAACACTCCACTTGCTGCAGAGAATTCTAACTTCTAGGCCTGAACCTCAACTACTCAGTATCCAGGATTCATGCTCTTCCATTTGCTGGTCTATTTGTGCTTTTATCATACCATAGAAATTTTCTACTCATATAAAGAAAAGTAAACCAAAACCCATATTTGAGGGACTGGTCTACGTGTCCCACTCCCTATAAATAAGATCTTCAACAATTCTGGGAATCAGCCTTTTTCCCTTCCTCCCACATGGCTTTGATGACATTCCAGTATTAGAAAAAGTGGAGAGAATAATTAGAAAGGACCCTATTACTTAGAATGGCCGCTTTCATTACAGTACCTTGGCAGCTTTATTAACCTTGTCTTCATTTTCTCTTTCATACACACAGACTGAGGCAAGCTTGCCATCTTGCAGCACAGCTGGGTAAATTTTGATTCCGCTTGGTAAAGTAAATGGCTGTTTTTCTAGCGTGTTGTTCTTTAAAGCGCTGTTCTCCGAGCCCATCACTTGCAAAATCAGGCCCTTGTGGAGGTTCACCTGTGCTAGCAAACAGGCCTGCAGGTAAAGAGAGATTTTTTTCAAACTTATTTAATCCCAACAGGCCAGCTCTAGTGACTCCTGCACCTGCTGTTCCATTGGATGCACCTGGTGTGGCTGAGCAGCAGTGGAGGTGAATTTTGTCCAGTTATACCAAGTATATTATGCAACACCAGTGAAATTTGCCTGTACAACACCTTAAGGAAAATAGGCCATTATGGCTCCTAATTCTTATTATAACTTTACCTAGTGAAATACTTAGATCAAGAGACATAGATGACCCAAGGGTCGTGGAGTGGTTTACCTCTTCTTAAACCAGACATAGATGTGGTGACTGAAATTTCCACTGTCAGGTAGCTGTAGAGCTCATGGCAAGTATCTGTGACACAAATCACCATCACTAGTGTCCTATATTTTTCTGGACAGAAAACAAGGATTGAAATAGCCTCGTACTCTATGGAAGAGGATGGAAACATTATTGGGGTCTTGTGCTTTAGATTGCTTTTAGCTGCTGGTGCTTTAGCTGTTGAATAGCTAAAGGCCTCGGTCTCCTGAGATACCAAGTGGAATGTTTTTGCAAGCATGTCATTTCCTTTACAAAATTTTCAGCTTTTGATCTTGATCTTCCTCTAAAACTAAACAGAAATGCTGGCTCACAAATAAGGCAACAGATTGTTATTTCTTCATGACGGTTTCACGCTTTGCAAACATCCACTTTGCAAAGTGTGAAACAGTCATGAAGAAATAACAATCTGTTGCCTTACTTGCAAGGCAGCTCAAAGTCCAGGTCTTACACAGAAGTGCCTGATCTGTTTTTTTTATAAAGAACAGAGACAGAATTCTGTATATACTTCTAGCTGAGATGTAACCATTTTAACATACAGACTGAACTATCAGTGTCCCTTGGAAGACTGGAACATAGCCCACTTCAACTGTTTTTCTCAGTGCAACACAATCTTCAGCTTTTACAAGTCAGCTGAAAAAAGTACAGGGGAGGTAGACTGAGAGGCCACTTTTTATATGCAGAAAGGGGCCACATTTCAGACCATTTGTACAGTGAAAAGAATTCCTCCAGAAACACAGGAAATACAGTATCAAACAGGAAATTGTTTCTTTAAATAGAAATGCAAAAATTCAAGAACTTCTGGTTCAGAGATGATACCTTTTATTAGACTAACTAAGAAATCACAAAAAAATCATCTTTTTCTGCAAGGTTTCAGGCACACACGCCCTTCCTCAGGCTCGGGGAAAATGAAAGCTGGTAAAAAGTCCCACATGTAGAAAATAAAAATTCCTTTAAATAGGGCACTTGAGTCATTTAGGCCAAACTCAGTGTCCCTTTAAAACAAGATATTTGCTTAAAAAACGCACACACTTTCAATTTTTTTCATCTCATATTTGATTTGTTAAAGGCAAAATAACAATGAATAATAAAGTTAATCTGCATGCATATACCTGAAGACTCTTAATAACTCGTTACATATTTGTGTCCATGATACACATATCTAGACTTCAAAGATATTGAAGAATATTGGTAACAGAAATTTGATACAATTCTCTGGCTTCTAGCATGAACATAACAGTTTTAGCCAAAAGTACACTTACCAGCAACCTGTGAGCCGAGACAATGACAGATAAGGAGATAAAGTTCTCTATCCTAGTAATTCTCATGCTTAGGTCATAAGAGCCCAAGTCAAAATAAAGCTGTCCCATGTAAATTGTACACGATAGCCTAAGCCCAGTTCCCAGGAAAATATGTATAACATTTATATTTGTAAATGATTAATATATGTATAGGCTGGCTTTTGTTCCCTTCCCTCCACATCCCCAAAACAGAAAAATAATGTTCCCAAGACCCAGGCACATAATGTGCATTGACCAATATCTCGTGGTATCCTACACTAAAAATCAGATGGAAGGATATACGTGCACCTAAAAACAGATGCTCAGCTTCCCAATGGGACTCAGTCCTTGCATAGTGACTATGGGTACCAAGATATTCCATACATTATTTATTTATTGGATTTATATGCCACTTTTCCCAACAAAGGCTCTATTTCGGGTCAATTTCGTCTTCTCACACTGCTCAGAGGCAGCTACAGAGGAATGAATGGTAACTAAAGAAAAACAGAAGGGCGGGGGTGGGATTAGTTGCAATAAAAAGAATGTAACATTTTACAACACTAAAAAAATATTTTTCTGTAAGCTACATTGCACATACTAAACCCACGGTGACATGGGGTGGCACATATGGGTTTAACCAGTCTAAGGCACATAGGCCTCCAAACACTGATTTTGAAAGGAAGACTTTTTGCTGTGCTCTGACTAGAGCATAATCTAAACTTTCACCTGGGTCACAAATGTTGTTTGAAGTCGAGTCAACAAGTGGTAAACTTAAAAGAACTTGAACATACCTGTTTGCAGAACATGAACTACTGCCTTCCTATATTCATGTTTGAGTGAAAGTGTAATTGGCATTTTCCTACAATTTCAGTTTTAACCTTTGTAAGTTTCAACCTTATGTATTTTTTTTTAATTACCTGTGGGTTAGGACTTTTAAGGATGGCTGAGATGTTTGTGAACTGACCCATGACTAGAGACCTACTAGATTCATGGTGGAAGTGGGCTGCGTGGCAGCTCCTTTAATCTTGCAGGTTCCCCTGACCTGACCCCCCCCCAGTTGCAGACTGGCTGAGAGGCCCTGGTTCTTGGGACTGACTTGCCCCTGTGCTAATCAGCTGGGGGGGTAGGGGGCACATGGGGGAACCTGCAAAATTGAAGGTGCTGCTATGTAGCTGATTTCCGCCATGAATTTGGTAGATCCCTACCCATGACCATTCATCAAACTCATAGGCCTCTTGACTGCAACAATCTATGGAGTTTGAAAACCCACAACTATGGAAATGAGGAGGTTCTTCTTTTACATAAAGGCAAACCACTTGGGCCTTGCTGGATTATGCCAGTGACCTCTGAAGAAGCCCATCTCATTTTGTTTTAACACAGGACTCCCAATACGTTCCAAAGGGAAGAAACTAGCCAGAGCATAAGGAAGAAAAGCCAACCCATTTCTAGCTGCTCAGGCTTTTTTGCCTGCAATAGCTCCTAGCCTTTGGCTACATCATGCCACCAGCCCTAACAAAAAAGGCCTCAGCTTCTCCCACCCTTGCAGCTGGCTACCAAGGGCTGAGAGGTCTAGCAACACACAAATCTCTACAAATCAACATTTTCAAGCATCTGATCTCTGATGAATCAGCAGTCTGTCAAGGTTCAAATAATCAAGCCAAGAAGCTAATCTTTTCAACCACATATCAGCTACCTAAAAGTGATAAAACCACCAAACCATCCTATACCAATATCACCCTTTTTTGGTCTTCTTTTCTAATATAACTCAAAGATGAGATGGTGCCTATAAAATAGTTAATCGAGTACTGAAGAGAGTCCTCGGTTAAACAACTTTTCTACCTAAAAGAGCACACATGTATTACGTAGGTCAGCCTGGTATGTTTAATCTTGAGAAATCAGGTTATTTTCACTTATATTTGTTATCTGAATATGACATATAACAAACTATATCACACTGACTTGGAACGTTTTAGATAATCCTGGATAAGGGGATGCAGGGAAAGACAGACCTTACCAGAAGTAATTTGAGTGTACTGCCTTACTTAAAATCTGAACTATAGTTCTGATTTTAGCTTCAACCTGACCGTGATCTGACCCTCCCTATAGCAGCAGTTTGGCTGAAAAAATATATCAGCTGGTATTGAAATTGATAATGGTCTGTTAGTTGTGGAGTTAATAGCTATACAAGATAGCTGTCCTTGTAGATTAGAGTCAGCTCATGAAAAATTGTTGGTTTATGCAATACTGTTGAATCAACCTATTAACTGGCCTACTTTGATATTAACCCTGATATTAACACTTAATTCTGATTGGGCTGGTTTCTGTGTCTATACTTTTGAGTTATTACCTAGCACAGAAAACTGGAATCCTGTCTTAGATCTTCCCCAGATGTCAGGATGCTGGACCTGATGAGTCTTGGAGTAAATATATGTATAAGAGGTAACACATTAGCCCAGCTAGCGGTGACCCAGATAACTCACAGATCCATAACTGGTGCCTGAACAACACCCCTGGTGTGGGAACAACCGTGGATTGACATATTGGCCGTTTCCTTCCGTAAGCAGTGCAGGTTCCAGAACTTCAGAGACTTGGGGACGGTGGATACCAGCGTGGTCAGTCAGTGTAACAGCTGACCAGTTCCCCACAGTACCTCTAGATGCTTCACACAGCACAGATCCAAGATCAATGTGGATTATACAGGCTGCTTGCCACTTGAAAGCAACAAAGACATTTCATGTACTCAGCACACCACCATGGAGAGAGTTTGAGACAGACAAGCCTGTAACTTTCATAAGTGTTAAAGAAATTGGTTTTTCCAAGTGATCTGCCACTAACAGCCTACAGCTCCCCCATCATCAACCCATTACAAACATTGATACCCTTGAACATCTCCCTGTTTTGGTGGGAGGGGTCACCTGTGAACTCATTTCTTTGCATTTTTGGCTTCTGAGTAGCTCTTTTATTTGCTCACCCCGCCCCACCCCCAAAACGAATCCTCCCCATGAGTTGATACAGCAGGATGCACACACCACACCTCACCTCCCCGCCACTAGTCTCTCCTCTGACTGAGCACCAACATGACCTCATGACCAAAAAAGCTCAGGAAGTATATGGTGGGTTTCTTTTTTTTTGTGGGGGGGAGAAGGGGTCAATTGGTGCATACAATTACCTCCCTTGATCCAAGGAATAAGGTATTAGGTCTGTGTCATGTCAGAGTCCACGGCAGTCTTCTGCAGAGATTAGATTGTGCGCTGGAGAGGGTGGCTTGGACAGGGCAGAAGCTGCCTCAGGCGGGAGTGACCTCTGCAGGTCCCTATCAGCTCCGCTTCTCCACGAAAGAGCACTTCAGATCTACTCTGCCTGAAGCAGCGATTCTCACCCTGGGTGCCCCAAGGCCCTCCCAGGAGGGCACTGCTGGGGTCACCGCGCCAGCGACCTGGAGGGGGAGGCTCAAATGAGGATGGAGCCGGACTGTTCTCAGTGGGGGCAGATGACAGAACAAGGAGCAACGGGCTCAGGCAGCAGCAGGGGAAGTTTAGGCTGGCCGTTAGGAAAACTCTCTCACCAGGAGGATGGTAAAACACTGAACAGGCAAGCCGGAGCAGTGGGGGAAGCTCCATCCTTGGAGGTTTTTAAGACCCAGCTGGACAAAGCCGTGGCTAGAATGCTCTAGTTGAGGCTGGTCCTGCTGCGAGCAGGGGTTGGACTAGACGTGGCCTCCTGGGGTCCCGGTTTTCTCCGACTGCGGTTGGCGTGCGGGACAGGAACCCGGGGTGTCAGAGGCCAACCACAGAGTTAACAAAACACCAGCCCCAGCCCCGAAGGCCGCCCCCGCCGGGGCTGTCTGAACCCCGAGCTCTCTGCCAGAGCAAACATGGCCGCGCTGCTGTCCCCAAGGGCTAAAAAAGAAGGGGGGGGGGCGGAGCGCGTCTCTGAGGGGCGGCCGCGGCCCAGCGAG